TCTGAGGCATGGTCAGCACCCTTTCCTGATAGCAGATCAGGGAGAGAAGCCAATGCCAGGAAGAGAAGTACTCCCTGCAGCAGGCAGCCTCATCAAATGTTCTGAAAACACAAAAGCGTCCCAGAAAAGCCCCTGGGTGAGGTAGGGAGGGCAAGGGCATCACCACAGGAGTCAGTGTGGGTTTGGTAGACACAGAGTCCTGGGTTTCAATCCCACCTTTGTCTTTCTCCATTCTCATCTAGATACAGCAATTCTACTCCTTGGTACATACCCGAGAGAACTGAGAGCACTCAATCACAGAAACTTGTACAAGAATGTTCACGGAGGCATTACTCATAATAGCCCAAAGGTGGAAATAACCCAAATGTCCATCAAATGATGAACGGACAAACACAATGTGCTATATCCATACAATGGATTATTATTCAGCCATAAAAAGGGATGAAGTCCCGATACATTCTTCGACATGGATGGATAAACATTGAAAACCTTCTGCTAAGTAAAAGAAGCCAGTCATCAAAGATCACATATTGCCTGATTCCCTTTGAATGAAATGCCCACAACAGGCAAATCCATAGAGACAGAAAGTGGATTAGTGGTTGCCAGCGGCGGGAAGGAAGGGAGAGTGGGGAGTGAATGCTAACAGGTATGGGGCTACTTTGGGGGGCAACAGAAATATCCTGAAATTAGATAATGGCAATGGTTTGTACATCATAAATAAACTAAAAGAATCACGGAATTATACACATTAAAATGGTGAATTGTATAGTACGTGAATTAAATCACAATTTAAAAACTGTCAAGGAAAGAGTGGCACCTCTAAAATGGGGATGAGGACACGATCCACGTGGGGAGGGTGTGGAGAGGGTTAAACAACATTGAGGACATATGTACAATGTTGCTGTGGGTGCCTGGTACAGAATAAGTGCTCAGACACAGCAGTTATAATAAATCACGTCAACACCGATATTGGCTTTCTGCCTAAAATGCAAGGCAGGGGAACCGATACCAGACAAGAGGGTGGCTGGTGTTACAATTCTTGAGCTGCAGCCCAGCTGGGCAACAGTGCCACCGCAGCACTAGGCTGGGAGCTGCCACCTCCCTTCACTCCAGCCCCGAGCTGTCGCCATAGCAACCACATCAGCTCAGACCAGGGGCTCCTGTTCCCAGCCGGGTGACAGCATCACTGCAGCAACCTGTCAGGACGGCAGAGGCAGATCTTGATGATGGGACTGCAGCTCTGGCAGAAGAATTGCTAAGGGACCCTTGTCTCCATAGAAACCATGTCAGGAAGGAGAGGGAGAAGGGAGAGGACAAACAGCAAATAAACACAGGCTCCCGTCTCCTTCCCACATCCTGAGCCACCGTGGGGCACACAGAAGGCGAGAGCAGTCTCACTGACAAGGGCCTCACGGGGAAGTGAACTAGCGCCTGGCTTCTTTCACTCAGCGTGTTTTCAAGGCTCACGGATGTTGGGGCATGTGCCAGTACCTCATTCCTCCCTGGGGTTGAATCCTATTCCATTCTGTGGACATACCACACTTGGTTTACCCATCCATCCGCTGAGGAACATTGGGTTGCTCTACCTTTTGGCTATTTTAAATAACAGTGTTATGAACGTGGGTGTGCGTTCTCCCTGGTGTAAGTATCTCCTCCTCAAGACCCTGCTTTCAATTCTTCTGGGAATATGCCCAGAATTATTGGATCCTGTTGTAATTCTATGCTGAATTTTTTGAGGCACTGCCATACTACCTGATT